ATGTCTCCCTCCGCCCCCTTGCTCCACCTCCACTCCGCGTCCCCCCGCACCCACTCGCTCCACCACATTGACCCGCACTCGCATCTCACGCATCCCCCCGCCTCCATTCCGCGCCCGCTGATCTACCGCGCCAAGTTCGGCGCGCCCTCCGTCTGGGCCCTGGACGTCTTCTCCCTGCCGCACAACGCCATCCGCGCGGAATGCAGGGACCTGTACAACATCCTCCAGAGCATCCACGCCCGCTCCACATACGTCCCACAGCACGAACTCACAGACTTTGCCCACTGGTGGTACGCCTTCGACGTCTTCCTCGTCGAGTACTTTGACTTCGAGGCCGACCTTCTCTTCCCGGCTATCTTTTCATCCCCCGCCCACCTCCGCCGCCCACACGCCCATCTCCCGCTCGACCCCGAAGCCACCGCCGCCCTGCGCCGCGAGCTGCTGACACGCAAGGAGCCCTTGCTCGAGTCCCTGCGTCAGATCAACGGCTCGTTTGACCTTCGCCTCCACGTCGACGCGTCGGACGTGTTCCACACCATTGTGGACGAGGTCAACGAGTTTGTCCCCAAACTCATGCACTACTTTCACTTTCAGGAGCGCCATCTGCCGCACCTCGTCTCGCACCTCTACCCGCCGGACTTCAAGGAGGCCGTCGTCAAAAAATATCTCGCCTATATTCGTCGCGGCGAGGCCCCACATCTCAACTTGCCGCTCCTCGTGCGGTGGATGGACGCGCCCGTGCACGACAAGTGGCTCCGCGCGCATCTGCGCGGTATGTCGAGACTGTTTTACCCAAGGTGGGAGAGAAAATGTCGCAAGGGCCACTTGAGTATCCCCTTGAAATTCCATCGCAGACTGGTTCGGTCCGTTCGAAATGTCGCCGCGTCGAGGTTGAGGAGACGCTCAGAGTTTGCAGAGGATATAGAAGACATATCGCTGGGCTCGTTTGCGTCGATGGAGACGAGTTTTAAGTCGATGGCGCTGCCGACGGGTAGTAAGGGAGTCGCGAGTCGCAGCGCGGGTGTGCAGCAGGAAAAGGGCATAGCCTCCAGACGGAGATGGCGATGACAGCGGGGATATAGATGTATACATTAGCAAAAGGGGGGGAGGGGGGTTCTACTAGTACAACGAGTGTAGATACAAAAACGGTGTGTGGTAAAAGAGTACACGCTTGATATGTCAAAGTTTAGGTGGTGACACTAGGCCACTGTTGGTAACGTTGTTGAGTTTGATCAGATCATGGTGGTCGTAGCGTCCACGTCTCGGTCCTTTCCGTAGTTCTCGAGGAAGGCGGCCATGGAAAACTTTGTCTCGTAGTCGCTCGCAGCAGCGTCAAAGGCCCTCGGAATGGCGATGAGTGAGTCTTGTACCCTTTTGACAGCGGTTCTAAACTGGTGGGCGCGGGCCGGCTTTGCAAAATGGCGCTCCTCAAAATCGGCGCGCACTTCTTGAGAATGAAGCGGCAGGGCGAGCAGGGCCGTGTAGTAAAACTCATGCCCCGCATCGGCAAAGTACTTGATAAGCTTAGCCTCCATCTTATTCTTCTCGCGCGACCCGCGCATGGAGTGCGCAAAGATGCGCGGCAGCACGGCCTCCTGCGCGGAGAAGTAGTCCAGCAGCTGCCTCGACAGCTCATCGACGGTGGCCTGCAGCGTGTTGGCCACGGCGACGGCCTGCAAGTAGTGCAAGGTAGGGTCGGTGAGGGCCGCGAGCAGGCGGGCAATGTCGTTCTTCCTCTCCGCGCGGTGGGTCGGGTGCAGCACGTGCGCGGCGTAGTCCGGGCGCTTGCGCAGCGCGGCCTCGACCTCCGGGTAGACCAGCCTGTCCTCGGCGGCCAGCAGCGCGGCCGTGTAGGCCTGGAACTCGGCGAGGAAGAGGAAGAGGTTGTCAAAGTCCGCGCGCGTCATGTCCAGGGCCAGGCGGTGCACGGACGTGAGCAGGCCGAAGACCTCCGAGATTAGCGTGCGCACGGAGTTGTGCGGCAGCGACACGATGTCGACGTACCAGCGCTTGTTGTACTTGCCGTGGAAGCCGATGTACGGCATGCGCGCGGGCGCGATGGACACCAGGCGCGAGCGCTCCAGGATGCACTCCCGGTCCAGGTCCATCTGCGAGACGCGCGCCGCCTCGATCGTCGGAGGCGCCGTGGGTGTCGGCGGAGGGGTGTCCGAAATGGGGGATGGGTGGGAGGAGGACTTTAGCTTCTCTTTTATCTGCATGGACAGCTTCATGGTGGGGAGGGGGGCGATGAAGGAAGGGGGTGGACTGGATGGGGGTTGACTGGCGTCGGATGTGTATTGGTAATGTTTGTAGTTAGAGCAGACATGTCGGGGGATTCGACAAAGGGTTGGGAATGCAAAGCGGGAAGGGAGGGTGTGGGGATGAATTTAGTGGGAATTTGAGTCGGTGGTTCTACAGGGTACTGTAGTGTAGTGAAGTGTGTCAATGCAGTGGATTTTTGGAGAGCTGGAGTGGCGGCAGAGTAAGCATCCAGCAGTGGCAGCGGGTACGGTATGCAAAAGCGGCGGTACAAAGCGTCGGACGTGCAGCTTGGCATTGGAGACCTGGTTACCCCGCGGTGCTGACAATGGAACCGTCGAGAACGTACCCAAGGGTACCGTATCGTACACAGTAAAGTGCCCGAAAACAGACGAAAACAGACAAAAACATGAATAATATCCGACCGCAGATGCATCATTTGCTCTCCACCTTCGTAGTCGAAGCAAGCGACACGCATGCAGCACGCCCGCCAAGCAGTTGTGCGTACAGTACTGTACAATATACTGTAAACAATATGCTGTAAACAATATACTGTAAACTTTAGCACTGTCGGTGGACAGCGCGGACAGCGCGGACAGCGCGGACAGCAGGGACAGAGGGTACACGCCGTGTACTCTACCCTCCACACGTGTCCCCGAGAGCCCCTCCGCGAGTCGCCACGTGTCGCCACGTGTCCGGGGCGGAGCAGCCGTTGTCCAGCCACTCGATCCGTCAACGTCGGTCCTCCGCGCGGCCTCTACAGCCGCACGCGGCCGCGCCGCTGGCGGACGTTATCTTCTACATTTTTTTTGTTTCCACGCGTGTACATATCATCTTAGCGCCTCTCTCTCTCTCTCATATAAATTTACCGGGGGGGTGCGCGCACGTGCGCGCGGCATCTGCGCGCGTGCTCGCGTGGCTCGCGCAGGGCGTGGGGAGGGGGGGGAAGA